TTTGTTGCTTTTTTTTTTTTTTTTTTTTTTTTTTTTTTTCTGTTTACCATGAAACAAGACGTCATTCCTGTTTAATTCTGTGGGTTTTCTACTTCCTCCTGCCTCCTTGTTTAATGGAAACCCTTGATTCTTTTAGAAGATGATTTTATGCCTAATTCGCTGTATTGATCAAGCATTCTGTTAAATAGAATCATAGATCATCTTGACAAGCAAAAGACATAGTGGTTTCTTTTTTAGTTCTGTTGATTTGATCCATCCCATCTGGATAATGATTGCTGTCTGTTAATATATTCAATTTTCTCTTGCCATATTTGAGCATAATAAGAGTATGATTTTGTGTATCAAGTGATATTTTGGATATTGGATCAAGGGTGTTTGGCTATCTGCAGAGATATATTGTTTCAATTTTGCCTGTTCAGGTTTCAGGTCCACTTGATCGCAAGCCTGAGGAGAAAATTGTAGGGAATGCCCTATTTCGCTGGCAAAGGTATTGTGGAGTTAGTTTCGTATTGTTCATTAATAGATTTTCTTTTTCATTAATAATAGCCAATGTTTTTAAAAGCATATCTAATGTTTTTCTCCAGTGATGTCAATGATCCTCATACATTCATGGACCTTTTTGTATCGAACTCTGAACCGTAAGGAGCACTGTCCTGACATGAATTTTTGTGTTCTGCAACCATTTTAAGGATGAGAATTCTCTGACTGTTTGTTTTTACTCTGTCACTTTAGGGTTTTACAGATGAGGTCATGCGCTTACTACCCTAAATGTGGATTTGGAGCATTTGGGATATTCCCACTACTTCTGAGAAATAGGTTTCTTCTTATCCATAAAACAATTAGGTCTAAACATAAATAATTAGTGTTAGGTTTACATGGTTACTGATAATGCAGAGTATGTTCTGAAGATTATGGTGTCATGGGTCTGAGATATGGCTCATCGAATTTGTCGATAGGAGCCACACTAATGCCTTTCTCTTGTAAGTGACCTGCAGTACAAGTAATTTGTTTTAATCCAGTTCCATACAAGTTAAGGTTCTATGTATTTTTTCCTGAAACCGTTGCTTTAGAGTTGGCTAGTGAATGTTTATTACGTCTCCACTTTAAAATGTCCACTTAGTTAATTGTTGTTTTCAGTCACTTGGAATGTAATAATGAGTGGGTTTTATTTTTCTCATCAGTTAACTTCCTATCAAACAAAAGAAGAAAAAGTTTCTCATCAATTAACTAACCTAAGTCTCAACTTGTCAAATTGCTGTTTTCTTGATCTTCTGGATTATAGCTGACTGCTTTGAAAATATAAATAGTGAATTGTATTACAATTTTAGAGCTTAGACATATAGTTTGATAATCCACAATATTGGAATACAAAGTGTGGGCTGAAAGTATATTTCTATTATTAATTCTGTCCTTGTAGTGGGTGATGAATTCCCAAACAGTGCATGGTTGGTAAGCAAGATGGGAAGGTTAATTGCTGGGGTGCAATATGAGCCACAATGTAAGTTTTTTCTCCTTCTCCAGATCTCAATCAGTTAAGTGTTCAATTCCTTATTTGTTACTATTGTTAAGAATAGTAGGGTAGTATGTGTAAATTGTTAATAGGAAGAGGGTGAATGTGTAATTCTTATTATTGTAGGTTAACTATAAATACAACTGATGTATGAGAATTAGGTTAAGTTTTTAACCTCTCTATGTTTCTCCCAAGATATTGTCTCTAATATTATGTTAATCTTTCAAACTTAACATGGTATCAGAGTAAAGTTTAATCCTAAATATATTTAGAAAATAAATTAACTCGATTTGTTTTGGTGGTACTGTTGATCGTCGTTCATTGTGTGTGGTGGTGTTGTGGTGGTTCTTGGTGGTGTGGTAACAGTGTTGGTCGTCGCTTGTGGTGTGTGCTATGTCGAGTAGTAGTTGGTCGTCGCTTGTGGTGTGTGCTGTGTTGAGTAGTACTCTTCGTGGTAGTGGTGTAGTTGTGGTGGCTGAGGTGCGTGGAGGTAGTGGTGGTCGTCGCTTGGTGAGTGCTGTGTCGCAGATGGTAGCAGTGGAGGATCATCGTTGGAGGTGAGGCGTGGTCTGGTGGTGGCTGTGTGAGGCGTGATCTGTGGTGACTGAAGGAGTAGTTGAGTTGCAGAAGTGGGTTTTCTGAAACCGTAACCAACGAAGAAGAAATAGCCCACCTGATCCACTTTGGATCAACCCAATCTAACCCAACTCATAGTTGGTTCGGTTTAGACTAATTTCAACCCGGATCATCACGGTTCAGCCCGGTTCTGGGCTCCAGTAAGCCAAACCGGCCCAGTTCAGTACTCTAACTAGCCAAACCGGCCCGGTTCAGGGCTTCGGTAAGCTAAACCGGCCAGGTTCAATACTCTAACAAGCCAAACCAGCCCGGTTCAATGCTCCAGTGAGTCAAATCGGCCCAGTTCAGTGATCTAGCAAGCCAAACCGGCCCGGTTCAGTGATCCAGCTAGCTTTTCTGCTCTGGTTCAGTGATTCAGTAGCCTTTTCTTCTTCGGTTCAACAGTCCAGTACCATTTTCTTGTCCGGTTCAGCGGTCCAGTGAACTTAACTGATTCGGTTCAGCGTTCCAATGAGATTTTCCAGTCCAATTTGGTGATCCAACAACCTTTTCTTCTTCGGTTTAGCAGTGCAGTAGGTAATTCTTGTCCGGTTCTGTGATCTAGTGATTTCTCTTTTCTATTGCTGCACTTATGGAACTCAAGCAAGACACGGAGTTGGTTACTATTACACGAGAGGAGTATGCTCAGTTCCTGTCCCAGCAACAAGTTGTCCTATCTCCCTCCACTACTACTTTTGCCCAATCAGGTAATGCTTCCACTTGTTTATTGTCCTCCAATCGCAGTCCCTGGATCATAGACTCTGGTGCTTCAGACCACATGACTGGTGTGTCTGATATTTTTTCTACCTATCAGTCTACTACTTCCACACGTAGTGTTATTCTTGCTAATGACACTTGTTCTCAAGTTTCAGGTTTGGAGACTACTAACTTGAGTCCTGGTATGTCCCTATCTTCTGTATTATTTGTTCTTCAGTTTCCTTTTAGTTTACTCTCCATTAGCAAGATTAGTCGTTCTCTCAATTGTTCTGTAACTTTTTATCGCTCTTATTGTGTCTTTCAGGATCTCAAGACGAAGAGGAAGATTGATACGGGGCATGAAGCTGGTAGACTATATTACTTTGATTTTGATTCACCTCCTCAGGCTTTACAGACCTCATTGTCTCTTTTTCAGTGGCATTGTCGTCTTGGACATCTCTCTCTTCAGAATTTGAAGAGCCAAATTCCCAGTCTTAGTTGTGTGCCGTCTTTGTCTTGTGAATCTTGTCAACTTAGTAAGCATCATCGTGTGTCATTTCAGTCTAGAGTCAGTAATCGTGTGTCTAGTCCATTTGAGTTGGTACATTTTGATGTATGGGGTCCAATAAAGAATATTTCATCTAATAAATATCCTTATTTTGTGTCATTTATGGATGACTATTCTCGTGTGACTTAGTTGTTTCTGATGAAAGTTCGGTCTGAATTGTTCTCTATTTTTTGGACCTTTCGTAAGGAAATAAAAACTCAGTATGGTTGTCGTATCCGTATTTTACGTTCTGATAATGCTTGGGAATATGAATCTGATCTTTTTTCAGCTTATCTTAATAAAACTGACATTATTCATCAGACTTCCTGTGCTTACACATCTCCACAGAACAGTATTGCTGAACGCAAAAATCGTCATTTGTTGGAAGTCACCCGTGCCTTGTTGTTTCAGATGAATATTCTCCGATATTTTTGGAGTGATGCTGTTCTTACTGGTTGTCACCTTATTAATCGTATGTCATCCTCTGTATTAAATGGACAAAGTTTATATTCTGTCCTTCTTTTTCCTGGTAAGCTCTTATTTTCTCTAGCTCCTAAGGTTTTTGGATGTGTCTATTATGTCCACAATTTAGGTCTTAGGTTTGATAAACTTGACCCTTGAGCTACCAAATGTGTATTTCTTGGTTATTCCCGCACACAGAAGGGGTATCGTTGCTACAGTCCTTCTCTGCGACGATACTTTATTAGTGCCGATGTCACGTTTGAGGAATCTGTTTCATATTTTTTAGCACCTTCTCAGCTTTTGGATCTGAACTTTGGGTCATCTCTTGTACCACCATCTCTTTCCTCATCTTTAGATATTCCGCTGTCCACTGTGTTACCATCTACTTTATCTCTCCGTGTCTATTCTCGCTGTTCTCGCCCATCGACTGAGGTGCCTGTACCGTCTTCCTTGTCGCCTTCTGATCCTAGTACATTAGATAATTTAGACTCTTACCTATTGCTCTTCGTAAAGGTACTCGTTCGTGTGTTACTCATCATCCCATTTCTCATTTTGTTTCATATGATGCCTTGTCTTCTGGCTTTTCCTGTTTTACTTCCCAATTATCTGCTATATCTATTCCTAAGCATTTACAGTATGCATTATATGATCCAGGTTGGAGAAAAGCTATAGAGGAGGAGATGGATGTTTTACATCATAATGGGACTTGGGATCTTGTTCCTTTACCCCCTGGTAAACGAACTATTGGTTGTCGTTGGGTGTATACTGTTAAATTTCGTCCAGATAGTTTTGTGGAGCGTCTCAAAGCTCGACTTGTTGCAAAGGACTTTACTCAGACTTATGGTGATTATGAGGAGACTTTTTCTCCTGTTGCCAAAATTTTCTCTGTTCGTGTCTTGATTTCTTTGTCTGCTAATCTTGATTGACCCTTGTTTCAGTTAGACATTAAGAATGTCTTCCTACATGGTAACTTGGTTGAAGAGGTATACATGAAGCAGCCACCTGAGTTTACTGCTTAGGGGGAGTATAGTAAGAATGTATGTCGGTTAAAGAAATCTTTGTATGGTTTGAAGCAGTCACCGTGGGCATGGTTTGGTAAGTTTTCAGATGCAGTTTTAGAGTTTGGTCTTCTTCGATGTCAAACAGATCATTCTGTGTTTCATAGACAGACAGATACTGGATATATCCTATTGGTGGTCTATGTAGATGATATTGTGATTACTGAAAATAATTCTGAGGGGATTGTCAAGTTAAAAATATTCTTACAAGATCGATTTCTTACCAAGAATTTGAGAAAACTCAGGTATTTCTTGGGTATTGAGGTGACTCGATCTAAACAGGGTATTTGTTTATCCTAGAGGAAATATGTACTTGACATGCTTGAGGAAGCAGTTTTGCTGGGTGGTAGACGGATTGATGTTCCTATGGATCCGAATCAGAAATTATTGATAGATGATGGTGCATTGTTTGAAAATTCAGGTCGGTATCACAGATTGGTTGGGAAGCTTAATTATCTCACTATTACTCGACCGGATATTTCCTATGCAGTCAGTATAGTAAGTCAGTTCATGGGATGTCCTAGAGTACCACATTGGGAGGCAGTTACTCGTATTCTGCGATATCTCAAACGAGCTCCTGGATTGTTATATCGAACTAATAGACATCGTAGAGTGCAAGGTTTCTCAGATACTGATTGGGCTGGCTCTCCTTCTGATCGGAGATCAACCACTGGTTATTGTACTTTTTTAGAAGGTAATGTTGTCTCGTGGAAAAGAAAGAAGCAACCCGTGGTAGCAAGATCCAGTGTTGAGGCTAAATATAGAGCAATGGCACATACGACGAGTGAGTTGACTTGACTATTACACTTTCTCCAGGGTATTGGGTTTCCAGTTCAATTTCCTTTGCAGTTGTTCTGTGACAACCAGACAACTATCCATATCACTGTCAATCCTGTGTTTCACGAGAGAACCAAGCATATTGAGGTTGATTATCACTTTATTCGGGACAATATAATAACGGGGGAGATTACAACTTTATTTGTGAAATCTGAAGATCAGCTTGCAGATATGTTTACCAAAGCATTGAGCCGTACACGTCTTACAGCTATTTGTTTCAAATTTAGATTATATGATATATATAATCCAGTTTGAGGGGGAGTGTTAAGAATAGTAGGGTAGTATGTGTAAATTGTTAATAGTAAGAGGGTGACTGTGTAATTCTTATTATTGTAAGTTAACTATAAATACAAGTGATGTATGTATGAGAGTTAGGTTAAGTTTTTAACCTCTCTCTGTTTCTCCCAAAATATTGTCTCTAATATTATGTTAATCTTCCAAACTTAACAACTGTATATGGTAAAATATTTCCTTTTACAGAACTTTTCCCTATGCATGGTAAAAGATTTGGTGGTTTTTTGGTATATGTTTGTTTTTTTCCCTTGATTTGTCATTAATATTAATTTGGGATCCTGCCAATGCAAGTAAAAGCGGTTAATGTAACTACCAAGGACTTGATGCCTATCTCTGAAGAATTTGATAAACAAGTTTGAGACACTTATAAACCATTAGCAACCATATTTGGTTAACCATGTTTATTGTAAAATTGAATAAAAACCTTTTATCTATTTTTTTTATTTATAGGTGTAAGTTTATACTTAAAATTCTGTTCTGATAACTACTATTTCACAAGTTATTCTGGGTTCATTTAACATAATCTCTACAGGGGGAGATTAGAGGAGGACGAGGAGGAGGACAGGAGGAAGGAGGGGGGGAGAGAGAGAGAGAGAAATATACTGGTTTATGGTTTCAAAGCTATATGTTGTTTGTTAAGAAATGAGTTTTCTTCCTTCAATTATTTTGTTGCCAAAGATTATTGGCTATTATAGGGTCACCTTGTACTAATGCACGTGTCAGGCCCTTTTAACCCTTTTAACCCTTGTGGATAAGTAGGCTTGGGCATTTGGTGGGTACGTATTCCTACATCCGTTTTGATTCTTTGAGTGACTTCTTTTCACATACAGTTCACTTTTGGCCAACATCTATCATTTCAATATTCAAGTTGTATAGGGCATGCTTCATATAATATACTGCTAATCTATCCTCTGAAGGCTTGATAAAGATATATTTGTATGCTCTCTTTGTTATTGATGCTTTACATAGTTGGAAGCAAAGATGGAGCAAGATATAAAAATTTAGCGAATTGGAGTTGTGCAATTGGCTATGGACTAGGATCAGGCAGTCCTTTGAGCCCCTCTTTCAATTTTGGTCTTGAACTTGCCAAAAATTCTCAGGTTTGTTGCATTTAGTAGTTTACTGCACTTAGCTTTTATCTGCTCCCTTTTATATGCACTTGAAAATAGATGTGTGACTAGAACTTTAGATATGCAATATCAGGAGCTGCATGAGGCATTGACTGACTGATTGGAGGCATAGGTGAGTTCTGGGCTTCTGAAACAAATGGACAATACTTTGTTTTGAGACTGGTAGCCCTCAAGTTCTGCTATGGAGATATATTTTTGAGGTTCCATTAGATTTGATTTGTGATTTAGTTGTGCCATTAGCTATACAATGGATACAATAAAAAACAACACATTACCAGAATATGTGACAGGATATATAGGGTCTGGGACACCAAATTTTATTTTCCCTCTGATTCATGAATATGTGGTTTTACATACATAACCCCTTTCTGATTGGATCTGTTTAATAAATTATATTACTGTCTACTTCTTCAGTTTCAATGTAACATGGGAGGTTAATGGTGACCAACTATAAGGGGTTAAAGCTTTAAGAACAAATACCATGCTAGTTACTAGCTCATTGAGATTGTTGCGTATACGGATGACCATCCTCCTTCCTAGGATACAAATACTACGAGAATACTTGTCAATCTAGTTTGAAGTGCATATATGCATTGGCGTCCCTCTGATTTTGCTCTCAAGTACCCTTTTCTCATTATTGAAGCAAGTAATGATCTCTTGTTTACAAAATTTGGACTGCAGTTCATTGCCTCGTTCTATCAACATGTGGTGGTACAAAGACGGGTATGCACCTTTCTCTTTCTCTCAAATAAAAGAAGGAAGTGTCCTCAAAACATAATGAATTGAATTTTCGAAAATTGAAACTGAAATTTTGAATGAGCTGAGAATATTTAAGCACTATTGTATAATTTACACTTGTTTGGGACACTGCATGTTGTGTATTGTTAACAACCTATGAAGCACGGATAATTCAAAAGGGTCAAAGTATCGATCTCGGATACTTTCCAGATACGGACACAGGTCCGATACAGCCGGATACTTATCCGATACGACTGGGGAGTATCCTAGAATTAAAAAAAATAAATTTAAATTTCTGATACTTTAGGATACGTCGGGATACGCACGGGATTCATCAAGGTGTTACTTGAATTTTTTAAAAAGAATAGGGGCACCAGAACAAATATGTTTAGGCCCTTATTTGCACAAAAAAAAAAAATTATGAATGTATAATTTCTGAATGATAGAATGGTTAGTTATTATTATATATTTTCAATATATGTGTGATTCACTTTATAAATCATAATTATTACCATAAATATAATAATAAAGTTTAAAAAAACATATTTTATAGACATATCGTAACAGTTTCCGTATCCTATTTTTTTTAGATTTTGCTGTATTGCTGTATCCGTATCGTATCTGTATCCTGTATTCGTGTCCGTGCTTCATAGTTAACAACCCTAAGGTGTCACATATTTGGCCGATACAAATTGTGTACTTTCTATAATCAATATATTGCATAACGTATCATAAGATGTTGATAGGTTTTCATACATAGTACTTTTAAGGTTAGTTCATTGATGAACTTATTGTGCAGAAGCTTACACGAACGTTGCCTTCAAATTGATAAATGCTTAATTGGAATCCTTCCTTTGTTAGGAACTTCTATGTTTAATTGAAGTCATGCATCCTTAAATTGTACTTGGATGCAAATCCATATCTCTGAACTTCCATTTCTATTTGGGATATATAATATGGCGTCAAGATTCAGAAAAAAAAATACACTATAGTTTACAGTTCTTGATTTTTCCCTCACACTATTATGTTGCTGCAAGTATACTCGGAGTTAAAACTTACTTAAGCTGTTTACTACTCCAATTACAAAGGTGAAGAACCCACTTGAAGAAAATGAAGTAGTTGGAATTACAAATTATATAGACTTCGGTTTTCAGTTACAGACAAGGTATTTTTAAGTGATTACTTTGGAATATTCCATTCAAGTTCAGAATTGGATCTGACTTGGTATGATTTTGGGTGGAAGGGTCGAAGATCGTAAAACATCAGATAATGTGCAAGATTCTACATTTCAAATTGCTGCATCTTGGCAAGCCAACAAAAACTTATTGCTGAAGGTAATGCCTTTCATACAGTTCTCAGTGTTTATTGAAGAATTACATGAAATTTTTAACTAATTATTTGAATGTTATCTTTGCAGGGGAAAGTGGGGCCTCTCAGCTCGTCTGTAGCTTTGGCATTTAAGTCATGGTGGAAACCTTCTTTCACTTTCAGCATCTCAGGTATTTCTAGTTTGTAGATTGTCTCATGCAGTTTTAATGGATTCAAGAATCTGTGGGATTCAAGAATATTAATGATGTAGCAGTATTGTTAAATATTATATATATTTAACGTGAGATTGCAATCTTGCCGAGATTATTCCTCAATTTCTCTTTTCATGCTGCCATAATGTATATTTTTTCCGAACTATTGTTAAAAGTTTGTTCAATATGTTTGCTAGAGTCTAGAATTTTATCGACTAGGCTTTCTGGAAACCACATGGATGGATGCGGAGGTCACATAAGTTGTATATATTATGCTCTACATGAAGCACAAATCTAGTGGGGTTGGCAAGTGATTATATGTGAAATGCTCTACGAGTCTATTCAGATTATAAGGGTGCTATGCTCACTCAGACAATGCGCTGAACACGAAAGTGTGCAGTTCTGCCAGTGAACCACCAGAAAAGTCATTAAGTTTCCTTAAGTGGATTCATTCCACCCCATTTTCCATGATTCTTTAAGCCTATAGAAATTCTATATTTGTGGACAACCAACAGAATTGCATACTATGAAATCATTGTTGATATGCTTATAAAAAACATGATCAAACATCACACCCATTGATCTAAAAGCTGATTTGATTTTTCTTGTTGCAAGCCTTGACTTAAAATTATGCATGAACTTGAAAATATATAATTTACATGATGATGGATGATGTAAAAAGTATAATCTGAACAAATCTTAATTGGTTCACAGCTACTCGAGATCGTACAGTTGGAAAGACAGCCTTCGGATTTGGCATCCGCATTGACAATCTTAGAGAAGCGAGGTTTGTTTAATGTCTCCATTACTCATGCAAATCTACTATGCAATTGTGTGTTTTTAAGTATAGTCAGATGGGTTCCTGGCTATTTTGTTTTTTTTTTCTTTTTCTTGGAAAGGTAAGAGGCTATTTTGTTGCCAAAGTTTATCCTCCTTATCTTTCAAGTTAATCGGTAATCCTGGTTGATGCATCAGTATAACTTTGAACCTCCCCCCTCCTCCTTCTGAAAATGCAGTTACCAAAGGGCTGATCCAAATTTTGTAATGTTGACACCAAACAAAGAGCATCTAGCTGAGGGCATCCACTGGAAAGTTGGAACAAGACCAATGCTACAATCAGATGTAAATTCTGGGAATTTTGATGGGTTACCAAGGGAATTGAGACCCTTGGGTACAATTTTGTAATTGTAAATTTTATTTAATTTTTAAATTTATTTTCATTTGTGAAATAAGCAGTGGAACATTTTCACTATTTTAGTCAATTCGAGTATTGTAGTTTCATGAGTTCGAATGTTGCTGCTTATAAATCTTTGCAGTCTGGGATTTTGTTTTTTTTTTTGGGTTTTCTGATAAGCAGGGTCATTGGACTTGCGAATGTAGTAATAACAATTCTGTGCACGTCAAGTGTATATGCTTGGATTAAGACGCCATTGCGAACTGATTCATGGATAGATTCTGGTGAAGTCCTGGATCTCGTGGGGTTCGGAAGCCCATCTGTAAGGCCCCAACTCCCAAGGATGATTCTGGTGAAGTATGAGATGTCATGTGGACCGGAAGCCCATTGGTAAGGCCTGCTCATCCTTAGTATCAGAGATCTCAGGCCCAACCTAAATTTTTTGTACGGCCCATGCTGGCTAGCCCTTGATCTTGTGAATTAAATGGCGTTGTAATATTTACACCAAACAGTTTAAGGGGAGGCAGCTAATACATAATTAGTACGCGGATGTATTTTTTTTCTCGCTAGCAGAAGAGGGTTGTGACACCCTATTGGACGTGATCATAACAGTTCGAACCTATTGAGGTAGTCTGGAGGGTTTAGACGGTGGGTTTTGCAGGCACTTGTTATAGATAATTAGGACCATAGCTTGAACCCCATTCCTATCAAGTAGTTAAAAATAAGTCAATAATGTATTCCTTGCAAATTGAACTTAGGTGATCATTATTTAAATGATCCTTATAGAGTGTTATCTTGTCACTAAACCACCAAACTTGGTAGTTGGATATTTTATATCAGTTGGCATTATTTTTTAAAAATATTTTTTATTTTTTAAGATATTTTATGTGGTGTTTGTATTTTTGGTTTTTTTTCCTTGAATAATTTATGTATTTAAATGCATGTAAATTACTTTTGTAAAATATAAGTTAAATATATTTTTTAATTTTGTAAAATAGTAGCTATAAATTTTGATTAAAAAAATTGGTAATATTTTAGAATAATATTACTTACTAACCACGATGCTGCATCACACATTATTATCATAAACCTGTACGTGGCAAGTCAAGTCAATAGCTTCGCAGCAGCAGCAGCAGCAGCAGTCCCTNCTCATGCAAATCTACTATGCAATTGTGTGTTTTTAAGTATAGTCAGATGGGTTCCTGGCTATTTTGTTTTTTTTTTCTTTTTCTTGGAAAGGTAAGAGGCTATTTTGTTGCCAAAGTTTATCCTCCTTATCTTTCAAGTTAATCGGTAATCCTGGTTGATGCATCAGTATAACTTTGAACCTCCCCCCTCCTCCTTCTGAAAATGCAGTTACCAAAGGGCTGATCCAAATTTTGTAATGTTGACACCAAACAAAGAGCATCTAGCTGAGGGCATCCACTGGAAAGTTGGAACAAGACCAATGCTACAATCAGATGTAAATTCTGGGAATTTTGATGGGTTACCAAGGGAATTGAGACCCTTGGGTACAATTTTGTAATTGTAAATTTTATTTAATTTTTAAATTTATTTTCATTTGTGAAATAAGCAGTGGAACATTTTCACTATTTTAGTCAATTCGAGTATTGTAGTTTCATGAGTTCGAATGTTGCTGCTTATAAATCTTTGCAGTCTGGGATTTTGTTTTTTTTTTTGGGTTTTCTGATAAGCAGGGTCATTGGACTTGCGAATGTAGTAATAACAATTCTGTGCACGTCAAGTGTATATGCTTGGATTAAGACGCCATTGCGAACTGATTCATGGATAGATTCTGGTGAAGTCCTGGATCTCGTGGGGTTCGGAAGCCCATCTGTAAGGCCCCAACTCCCAAGGATGATTCTGGTGAAGTATGAGATGTCATGTGGACCGGAAGCCCATTGGTAAGGCCTGCTCATCCTTAGTATCAGAGATCTCAGGCCCAACCTAAATTTTTTGTACGGCCCATGCTGGCTAGCCCTTGATCTTGTGAATTAAATGGCGTTGTAATATTTACACCAAACAGTTTAAGGGGAGGCAGCTAATACATAATTAGTACGCGGATGTATTTTTTTTCTCGCTAGCAGAAGAGGGTTGTGACACCCTATTGGACGTGATCATAACAGTTCGAACCTATTGAGGTAGTCTGGAGGGTTTAGACGGTGGGTTTTGCAGGCACTTGTTATAGATAATTAGGACCATAGCTTGAACCCCATTCCTATCAAGTAGTTAAAAATAAGTCAATAATGTATTCCTTGCAAATTGAACTTAGGTGATCATTATTTAAATGATCCTTATAGAGTGTTATCTTGTCACTAAACCACCAAACTTGGTAGTTGGATATTTTATATCAGTTGGCATTATTTTTTAAAAATATTTTTTATTTTTTAAGATATTTTATGTGGTGTTTGTATTTTTGGTTTTTTTTCCTTGAATAATTTATGTATTTAAATGCATGTAAATTACTTTTGTAAAATATAAGTTAAATATATTTTTTAATTTTGTAAAATAGTAGCTATAAATTTTGATTAAAAAAATTGGTAATATTTTAGAATAATATTACTTACTAACCACGATGCTGCATCACACATTATTATCATAAACCTGTACGTGGCAAGTCAATAGCTTCGCAGCAGCAGCAGCAGCAGCAGTCCCTGCACGAATGGCTGCATCTTCCCTCATTTCCACATTCTTCTCTGCAACTCCCTTTCCAACTGTTTCTCTCTCTAGAAGATCCAGATTCTCTGTCTCCAAACCTCTCCCTCTGCCTCTCCGCAAATATCACTACGCTACTCGCCTTCCTCCTATAGTCTCTGCTCTTCGCGATTCGTCTACCTCCGACTCTCTTTCACCTTACTCCGATGACTACCACTCCGGCTTCCACAAGCTTTTCGATTCTTTCCTCGTCCTCTGCACCTCCGTCGCCTTGTCTTTCTCTCTCTTCGTCACCGATGTTGATCCGGCATCGGCCTTTGTAGTGACTACGCCTAGGAAATTACAGACCGATGAGCTAGCTACAGTCCGCCTCTTCCAAGAGAACACGCCTTCTGTTGTCTACATCACCAATCTTGCTGCCAAGTAAGTAATTTTTCTAATTTCCACTATTTTTTTTAGAAGATTTTGGATTTGATTATTGTTAAGTGTCGCCTAATTTTATCTGTTTACACTGAGGATCTATTATCACTTCTTAAGGAATATCTGCATTATACATTCGATTGTGAGGCGTTACTCTGTGTTAATTAGAGGTGTTGAGTGTTGCGTGATGGTGATTATGATGCGATTTCTGTGCTTTTAGGCAGGACGCATTTACGTTGGATGTGTTTGAGGTGCCTCAAGGGTCTGGGTCAGGCTTCGTGTGGGATAAGCAGGGTAACGTAGTTACAAATTATCATGTGATTCGTGGTGCATCTGATCTCAGGTTGGTTATTCTTTCAATTCACGTGTTGTGTATGCTTCTATGTTCATTTTCTTTTTGTGCATTGAATCCTCCCACATTTTTAGTTAAAGCATCACCCGATGTTGCAGTTTATATTGAGGTCAAGAGATTAATTTTTTTGAAGTATGAGGGTAGTTGAAATTAGGAGATTAAGATGGATGACTATTAGTGTTAAGAGAGTTGGAATAAGAAAACTGTATCATGAGAAGCAAAGGATGCCACTAAATGAGGGGTAGATATGGGAACTGCATCTAAAATATTTAGATAATTTTGTCATGCGGAAGTCCTGAGAATGTATAAGAGTGATTGGTTAAAGGTGAAGGTACTACAAGAACATGAAGAATGATATAAGACATTGTGAACAACAGCTCATGATTTCCAGTACCCTAGATAGGGGTGAAGGTTGAAAGGTGATTTGTCTAGCCGAACTCCTGGATTTAGGCTTTGGTTAGATTGAGCTGAGTTGGTGCTGACATCAAGGACTTGTAATGTGTTTTACAACCCCATTTTTGTTGTCAAGTTCACTTTCTTTGACACTTCTCCTCTTAGTTTCCCTTTGCTCCTTAGTTCCTTTAAATTTGATATGTTGGAATGGATACAATCCTTACAATCAAATTTGTTGCGCTAGTGGCATGGTATGACAGATTTTGATCTTGACAAGTTCCACGGAATCATCTACATGGTCTGAATACATCTTCGTTTTCTGGAATTAAGCATTTGTTAGTTGTGTTCAGGGTTACTCTTGGTGATCAGAGCACTTATGATGCAAAGGTGGTTGGATTTGACCAAGATAAAGATGTTGCAGTGTTGCATATTGATGCTCCCATAGACAAACTGAGACCCATTCCCATTGGCATCTCTGCAGACTTGCTCGTTGGTCAGAAAGTGTTTGCCATTGGAAACCCTGTGAGTGTAGAATACTACTTTTTGAGCGTTACAATGCGTATTCCTTTTTTCTTATCCTGTAATACTTGGTGTTGTTAATTCCTTTCTTGGTCCTCTGTTGCATATTTTCTTCTTCTCAAACAGCATGTGTTTAGTATGCAATGGGATGGAAAATGATAGCTCATGGAATTAGAGGAGAAGATTGTTTATTCTTGACTTGTGACCAAAATACCTGATTGTTCAGTTGTTTGTCTGAAATGTGTATGTTTTTGCAGTTTGGACTCGACCATACACTTACAACTGGCGTCATCAGGTGAGAATTATGTCCGGTACATTGAATATATGCATAAGTTTGGATTCTTGGTGAGCAACTCTGAATTTGGTGTTTGTGAGAGGAAAAAATTATGCCCGTTAGAGAATATTGTTACTACATAATTGTAAACTCCAAGCTAAAGAATTTTGAGTTTGGAAGAAAATCAGGAACGGGAGGAAAACTGCTGAGCTCTTTAGAGGATCTTTTAGTCAATCTTTTTTCCTTTCTGACCAGAATATATAAAAGCCTTACATACTAGCATAAATTGACAAAATTAATATCCCTATCCCCCCAGAATGAATTAGTAACTGAGTGCAATGAGAGAATTTATTTTTTGGTAAAGCCTCAAATTGTTTATTCAGGAAAAAAAATAAGTTCTCTTACAAGCCTCTGTTATTTGACGTTGTTCTGTCGTTCTACTCATTATAGAGCCATTGACCTATGAGGTAAAGTACAAGTATTGGTAAGCAGTGAATTGATTGTACCTGCAGTGAAATGCCCACCAGGAAGAAATATTAGAAAAAGTAGATGACTAGAGAAAAGAAATAGACATATATATTGGCATTTAACCATTCACGGTTTATCTAAAACAAACAAAAATCAGAATTGAGCCAGCACAATGCATAACAGTTCTCTGCTTATATGGATGCATACTCGTATGGATCCATAAAGATCAAATTTTAATAACGTATTCTTTGTATTCTCTGTAGTGGTCTTCGTAGAGAAATCAGTTCTGCAGCCACCGGGCGTCCAATCCAGGATGTTATCCAGACAGATGCTGCCATCAACCCTGGTAACAGTGGAGGGCCACTTCTTGATAGTTCAGGAAACCTTATTGGTATAAATACGGCTATATACTCTCCCTCTGGTGCATCCTCTGGTGTTGGATTTTCAATTCCAGTTGACACTGTGGGTTATCACTCTGACCTTGTTCTTCCAGTTTTATGAGAAAAGAAATTTTGGTTGGGCATTATGTGAAATTAATGGGGCTGCCAACATCCTCCTCCACTTGCTTTGGGATAAATTATCCATGCTCATCCATTCAATGATTTCCAGGTTGGTGGCATTGTTGATCAGCTGGTGAAGTTTGGGAAAGTCACAAGGCCGATTTTAGGAATCAAGTTTGCACCTGATCAGTCTGTGGAACAACTAGGAGTGAGTGGCGTGCTTGTCTTAGATGCTCCTGCAAATGGTCCAGCTGGCAAAGCAGTATGTTTGTTTGCTCTTGACAATGTTCCATTTATATAATGAAACTTTAAAAGTAACTCCTTGTATGTTATTGGTTGCACTGGCTTAAACTTTTTTCCTTGTGCTTGAAACCTGAGAATGTTGAAATTAATGTGACCTGCATTCTAGTAAGCCGATTAATCTCTATTCTGCAGGGTCTGCTACCAACTAAACGTGATGCATATGGCAGACTTATATTGGGTGATATAATAACATCAGTCAATGGAAAAAAGGTCACTAACGGAAGTGATTTGTACAGAATTCTTGACCAATGTAAAGTTGGTGAAAAGGTATTGCTAATTTTATTTCCTTAGCTGCAAGTCGTTTGCAATAAATATTAGCCTAGACATTTTACCTTAGGATGTTTTTGCTTTCAAGGGTCATATAGCCATAACACTTTAAAAAAAGCATAATGAAAAATTCATGGTTTTTCAAATGAAAATACTGAAATGATTGAGCGTTTTTCTGTGCCAACCTACCAGACCTCCTGGAACATATGTTTTTTTGGAGGATAGAAATGACCTTCAATTTGTTGTAGTTGTCATAGAATGGAAACACTAGGGAATTGCTCATTCGAACCATACTGTGTAGCCACTCACTAAATTCCGAATGGAAGCTGTCAGCATGCCTCAAATCAATTTTTATCAAAAGACTTTAATTTTCCTGAGGTTCCTGGAAAATCAAGCTTTTTTTTTTTTGGTCAGGGAAAATCAAGCTCAATCTGCCCTTCTTACTCTGTACTTGCCTTCTTATGTGTGACCCAATCATACACCATTTTGGACATGAGTGTGAAAATTTTCCTGAGTCAGCCAAGTGAAAAGGAATTACAAGTCCTGTCAATTGAAGGAATCTAGTTAATGGAAATATTTTAATATTTTCGTCTTGATGTTTAGGTCACTGTGGAGGTGCTGCGGGGTGATCAGAAAGAGAAGATCCCTGTGATCCTTGAACCAAAGCCGGATGAATCCTAATGCCTCGATTGAGGTCAGCTTGTGAAATATCATACATTTGCATTCTTGAGGAATTGCCCTTATTAAGTGTTTGCAGATGAAGGGTCTTGTACATAGTCTAGATATGTGTACTATCTTGATGTCAACAGATTATTATGCCAATGAGGTAACATACCTCTAAACTTGTGAAAAGCATTTGCCACAACTTTAGACCCCTGCTTTCTTGTGCTAGTCTTGTAGACCATTTCCTTTGTGTTTTGTTCTTGTATTATATAGGTGGACTTCACATAGATATTTCGTAGATTTTGGCCTGCTGCTTGTAACTGTGAGAAGAAAAACACTTGCCCAAACAACCGGTCCAAGAAAATGATTTTCGGAAATTTTCACTGAGCTCATATTTGAGTCAAAATTGTTGTTAAAATGTGACTTATTCTTTCCTCTTTCCTTCCCCAGAAAATATCATCCAAATCTCCTAAAATATATTTTTTTTCTATTTCGTTTGTAGTTCATCCACCATTAATGAGGGAGATACTATTTTATATACGAGAGGTTTCACTTGAATTCTTACCGTGATCCACCAAGAAGGAAAATAGAGAGAAAATGTATTGGAGACGATTGTTTTTCAGGAAAAGGGTAGGGGTTGTTGGGGGGGGGGGTGTTTGAACATAAGTCGGGATCTAACATCTGATGTATCAAATCGAAACTCAAATGAAGGCAATTTTGAAGCTCAATCCTTTGTAAATATTCTGAAATGTATAACTCTTGATATGCCTCACTAAAAATTTGGGAGAGAGCAATGTTCATTGATACATAAAGTCAATGGTTCCAAGGTTATGCAGAACTGCATTCTGTTCTTTGGGGTGATTGTTTTTTTGGGAGTAGGGAGCACACAGAGGGAGGCATTGTGGAATTTGTTGTCAAGGATTATCGATCAAGTGAGTGCTTGGCTTCTTGCTGCACCGAATTTAATGTTCTGGTTTTGTTAACCACTGAAAATGGTGGTCCTTGATTGTTCAATCAATTTAGAGAAATTACGTTGAGACCCTCTATGATATCTAACAATTTCAAAACATACTTTCAAGGTTTTTTTTTTTCCAATGGTTTGGCTGTTTGGATTATTTTATGTGCATATCGACTAATTCTTTCTCTAGTTCAGTCAAAGACAAGTTATTTATGTCGAGACTATGATATTTATTAGGGATAAATTTCTTATGACTTAACTCTAAAAAATTATCAAAATTTAAATTCAAAACATCTTAGTTTATAGCTTATTCTTGGTACTTTCAAGATTTTTGGACAGTGCAATTTTATTTGATTTCATTTTGGTTCTATATTCTGAAGGTACTCTATTGTTAGTAAATCTGTTGACTCATTTGCCATCAAAATTCAAAAGAAAAATCAGTCCTCCACGGGTTGAAGTCGCACACCAGCAAACCATTGTATTGAAATCAAATTCTAAAGTCTGTCTGAGCCTCAAGCCAATAGTCCGTTCATTGTTCATTCACACTTTCAGCAGAAACCCATCGACAACCCCCACCACTCCCTCACTAAACTTTCACGTGTCGTTTACAAGGAAAAAAAAAGGTGGTCAGTTGTGAGAAAGTTTAAGCAAGATATTTTTTTTCATCATTTTTTATTTCATGTTAACTAAGTATACGAAAATTTTAAAAATTATCCTAGTAAATAAATGGACATTAAGAGTAAATTTCAATTATTCTAATTTATTTTTTGAATTATGTAATTTATTTTAATCGACACTTTTTGTTACGATAAAACGTTGAATAAGTTAATCTTTTAAAAATCTATCTTTAACAATTAATTTTAACAAAAAATGTTGATTAAGATAAATTATAGTATTCAGGAAGCAAATTGAGATAATTAAAAATTTTAAAAATAACTTAAAAAAAAATATCATAATTTTGGGAGACATTTATAAAATTTAGCCAAATCTTAAAAACCCACACACCTCACATTCCATACCACACAGGACCCGGACACCGACATGGTCCAGAACCCCAACCATTTAACCGTCACCAACGCCCGATAGTCAGGGCAGTAACCCTATCTCTCTCTCTCCGGCCATAACATCTCACCTTCCCCGGTAAGTCTGTGTGTACTCAATTCCGTCAAGGTATTAGTCTGTTGTGGGGAAGTATGGTGGGGCTTCACTATAAGCTTGTGGTAATTACATCTTAGTAATGTTTCCACCTGTATAATGTTGTTTTTGACCACCCCTCAAATGGCGCCATGGTGTTCCACTTCAAATTCGGTCTCATGCCTTGAAGAAGCTCCTCTGATTGAGGATTGATTTGAGGTAATGCATTACCTTCTTAGTCGAGCACGGGCCTATGGAGCATACAGTTTCAGGTACCATTGCTTTTGTCAATCTAAAGGTTGGGGATTAAAAGACGAAGAGAAGAAATAGAGATGATAGGAGAAGAAAGAAAATGGGAAATTGAAATAGATCTCAAGCTAATGCTCAAAGATACATTATTCCAAAATCTCACCAAAATCTACCTTTAAGACATACTGTACCAGAAGATAATTGGATTCCCATCACAAGGTCTCTGCCTTGTTATTTGGATTATATATGGATGAGAAGCTTCAGATTCTTACATTCCATTTAAATAAGACTTCCATTAGGATTTTTTATGATCTTAATGTTTTGGGGCACCTGACAATTATATACCTGCTAATCCGATGCCCAACCTGCCTCATATTGTGTCGGAATGGTATTTCCTACCGATTCATCTTGTTAAAATGTCAACAAACTGTCGTCCAAACATGAACTGGTTATAGAAATTCTGTCGAAAGCAAGATGATCAGTTACAGCGTCAATAACTTTATAATAAACTAAAAATCATTTACAGTGATGTTTTCAATGCCTCTGAGAACTGAGGATGTCCTTTGACAAAAGAAATGTTTTTGTATCGTGCCAAAATAGACTATTAGAACTGTTTGAATTCTTGGTTGCAAGCTTTGCAGTTAAGTTACTATAGATTACAATGCTATTTGTTGTGACTTCAATCAGTCCATCATTTTAATTTCTCTTTTTCAATGCTATTTATTGTTCTTATCTAGTGGATAATTGAATGAGCAATGTACTTGGGCTGAAGAATAAACACTTAATTGACTGAGCACTCCCAACTTCTTGTAAAAAGTTCTTATGTACATGATCAAGTTCAAGTTATCATAATACTATCGAGATAGCCTCATCTTGGCAGGGATGACGTCTAAGCATGTTCCTAGAGCTTCCAGTGCAGTATCGTGGCGACATCTTTAACCTAGCAAACAAAAGAAAAAGGAAAATGCAGTGGTGAAAAAAGTTGATTAGGATACAAATGGTTTCTTCTTGAAGAAAAGAGACTTTATAATGTGTCACAACCAAAGGAGCCACTGGTGAGGTCCGTCATTTTATTTATACCACTGTTCTTTTAAGCAAATACAATATACATTCTGGAAAGCATATAAAGTTAGGGAACAAAGATTTGGTCACTGATAATGGTTGATGTTCATACGGAGAGAGGGGGAGACAGGCCGAACTCAAGTCCCCAGAGCTCAAAACTTCCTTTGACAAAATCATAATAGCCGCCCTTCAATGCTAGAGTTTTCTTCATCAACCCATCTCTCACAAATGGATAAGTTAACAGGTTTCCAAGTGATACATTCACAGCTTCCTGCATTCCATTTCAAACATTATTATAAATCATAAACTAATAAGTGACAAATCATTTGTGGTTTTTTTACTATATAACTTGTGTCGCATATGGAAAACTACGTATTTCCTGTAACTGGTCACTTTTTTTTTTCTTTTCTAGTTGCTTTGGAAACTTTCTGGAAATTAGATGCGAATTATCATTTAACAGGGGCAAGATAGATTGATGGCAAGGCGCTGAGGGAGGTGCAGCTTACCTTCTCACAGGTTGTACACTGGTCTGGAAAAGGTGCACTACCATGCTCTGCCTTCACCTTATTCTTGGCAGGTAAACCGATTTTGACCCAGTCTTCTATAAAGTCACTGCATAATTCAATCAAAGGAAGAAGAAATTAAGAGTAACCAAGACATCATCCACCTTTTAGTCCTTGTGCCATGCAATTAACTGCCTGATCAGCGAGAACTTGTATTTTGGGCAACAGAATCAAGCCTAGGGTAACTGTGATTGACATTGCCATTGGAGTTGCCAATTGCTCTCTCTGTAGAGAACAATATAGAGAGGGCAAGAATTGAAACCTCGATTTCTAAGTAGTTGAGGTTCTGTAACTGATTCTTGATTTTAAATAGGGGTGTAACTTGGTTTAGGCAACCCGATTTCAGCCCAAGCCCAACTCAAAAAAATTAGGACTTGGGTAAGGATTTTTAATATTTGGGTTGAATTTGGGTCAAAAAATTCCAACCCGAATTCAATTTGTGTTGGGTACGGGTTAAGGTCTCGTGAACCCGAGTTCAACCCGAACCCGACAAATTAATAAAAAAAAATTATATATATATAAAACATTAACACTGATTTTTCATTTTGTTCTATCGTTCTCTGTCTCTCTCGTTTTCTTTGCCTCCCTCGTTCTGTCAACCTCTCTCGTTAAAAATTTGGTTGAAATTATTGGTTGTTAATTTAGGTGAATATTATGTAATATATGTATTAGGTTTAGAACAACAAGCCTATTTTGGGCTCTACCTGAATTGAACCCGTAAAGTAACCCGAAATCATCAACCCGAGGTAGGGTTAGGGTTAGGGTTGAAGATTATATACCTAGGATTGGGCTAGGTTTAATTGTCTAATCCGTCCGAGTTGCACCCCTAATTTTAAGTAGAGAGTCAGACCCATGATTGTCCGTGGAACAAAATCTTAGAAAGTGAAAAGCCTCGGTGACAGTTTCAAATTGGCTTTGTTTGCTTCCAAAACAAAAGATTGGTTTTGTTTCAGCTCGATTTCTAAGTAGTAAGTGAAAAGCTTCGATGACAGTTTCAAATTGGCTTTGTTTGCTTCCAAAAAAAAAAAGAATGGTTTTATTTAGAACATGGGAGTCATTGATACATGCTTGAATTTTTTTCCTTTTTCTGTCTGGTACAAACAAGTATTTGAGCGAAGTCAATAGCACAGATAACGAAATTGAAGTTGACAAGGTGCATATTAATCGACTTTATATTTTTTATTCTTTAGTTTCATCTATACAATGGTTTCTAATTTGTTTTTCCATCTATTGTTACTCAAGTTTGATCCACACTTAACAGTATAAAACCGTCTTCGGGTCAAAAAATTGTGGTAATCTAGGAGTTGATTCCTTATTGAATGGAAGCTATAAGAATACTGGATAAAACTTAGTCAGATTTTGCTGATTGAAAACGCTTATTAGTTCCCCTGCATGCACACAAAGCTCATACATGAATGACGAAAACCTATAAGAAGGACAAGGTCTTACGTGGAGTTGGGAACATCAAACGGGAAAGTCATGAGACCCTTTATACCACCACAGCAGCTATGTCCGATTACCACAATGTTCTCCACCTGAGAAAGATTGGAACTGTTAATCAGTCCCATGTTGACGACTCACATAATACTTAAATGAGTCTGCTGAAATGATGATCCAACTCATATCAATCTCTGCGGGGTCACTCATTATTCTTAACGAGACCTATCAACTCGATATGGAATCGCAAGAAGTTATAATGTATGATTTTATTATTAATGAGTTCCAATCATAATCGGGTTGACTGGTCAAACTCATTTAATATATGGGTAGATCGATTACAAAAATATATGATGCGGATCCAATTATATTACTATAAATAAGTAAGCACAAGTAAAATCTTAAGTACGACACAAATCTAAATTCATACGAATAACTGATTATCATATCAATGGTTGTGATTGTTAGTCACAATATAAGAGGAGGATTATGTTCACCTTGAGATGCAGAACAGCATATTCGACCGCAGCCCCAACTCCAGCGTATTTAACCTGTTGCAGCAAAAACAATCAGATCCAAGTTTGTAATTGCGACAAATTACACTTTGGATCCTTTGAACTATTGTTTTGATCCCATTTTATCTAGGCACATCAATTGTGTCAGGTGACATGAGTTTGTCTCGAGTTTTAGCGGGTTTGTGTCAAAAATATTTTAACAATACTTGATTTATTATTAATTTATGTTTAATAAATCGTGTCATATCGGGTTTATGTTATGTATGAATTAGCTAGTATATAAACGAGTTGAATAGTGTATTTCTTCATATTGATTTCAACTATATTCTATTCGTTTATTAATTGTGTTATGTCATGTTGAGTTCATTCGTTTATTAAACAAGTGGTTTAAAAAAAACTCAAACCTTCTAGTTTCGTAATTTTATCACATCTACTATTGAGTTTTTTCCTTTATCCCCTCAATTATTTGCATTAATTTCACATTACCCCAAATCAAAACTTTTGTTATACTTTGGAATCCAAACATCGATGTGTCATTAGATTTGGGGTCAAGCTAAATAAAATCACATAGGTTAGAGTGCAATCGGACACAACTTTCTGCCATAGACGTATGCAATTAGAACGATATAAAGTCAATAAGAAGCATAGTAAGAGATGGGATATAAGAAACATAACAAATATTGAAAGGGCAATGTGAGATAGGAAGTGTAATTGATGGAACCAAAAGTGTTAATATGTTTTTTCCACAAGTCTCTAACAAGATTGAGTAGTAGTTTGGTTAACCTGATCATATTGTGGGACCATGTTGGCAACGTTTCGGACCACAAATGCCTCCCCTGGTTGGAAATCCAGCACATGTGACGGACAGACCCGGGAGTCGGAGCACGCAAAAACCATGAACTGCCACACACATGAATAATGTCTCGTCAATTAATCTTCTCCCTCAAATGTAAATCATTCATTCATGTCGGGACTAGGGTATTCATAAGGCTTGGTTCTAAGAGGTTGTCAAGATTTAAAATTAAAACATTTGAATTTACATTTCATTTCTGTTACCGCTTAAGCTATTCATTGGAGNACACACATGAATAATGTCTCGTCAATTAATCTTCTCCCTCAAATGTAAATCATTCATGTCGGGACTAGAGTATTCATAAAGTTTGGTTCTAAGAGGTTGTCAAGATTTAAAATTAAAACATTTGAATTTACATTTCATTTCTGTTACCACTTAAGCTATTCATTGGAANTATTCATAAGGCTTGGTTCTAAGAGGTTGTCAAGATTTAAAATTAAAACATTTGAATTTACATTTCATTTCTGTTACCGCTTAAGCTATTCATTGGAGGTATATTTAGTTCATATCGATAATGAAGAAGACTGAATACCTTAGGGCTCTGGCCTTTGGCAAGTTCACCGTATAAGCTCGGATTCGTTCTGAAATCACAAATAACTCATCATGTCAGCAATGGCCGGACGGAGCAATCCGCCAAAGATTGGACACAAAAGCTGCTACTGTCTAAAAGAGTTAATAAAGATGCTGCNTCAGCAATGGCCGGACGGAGCAATCCGCCAAAGATTGGACACAAAAGCTGCTACTGTCTAATAAATTAGAGTGGATAGGATAGGATAGTATATAAAAAAAATTAAAATACGAACAAAATTTACTCACTCGTATTTCTCTTTTTTAAAATGAATGAAGCCGTTTTTCAGCCTCTCAACAGGGTTAAACCCTTTGCTGTCAACTGTTTGCAACTCTGCTGTAATTTGATCAATTTTTGCTGCTGCAACAGGTCCTAGCTCTCCCTTCTCACTGCAAAAAAATATCAAAATCAGTAAGTATTGTTTTTGCCCTTATATATAAGAAATATAAGGAGAAGTATATGAGAGAGAGAGAGAGAGAGAGAGACTTAAAATGTTCTTATACTTATTAGAAGACTAGACATTTGCACAAAAGATTCTNCAAAATCAGTAAGTATTGTTTTTGCCCTTATATATAAGAAATATAAGGAGAAGTATATGAGAGAGAGAGAGAGAGAGAGAGACTTAAAATGTTCTTATACTTATTAGAAGACTAGACATTTGCACAAAAGATTCTAGAGACGCTACAAATGTATATTCATTTGTAAGAGGCAAGTAACTAAGTCTTAGTTGAAAGTCGAGGCATTCTTCGTCTGAGTTTTTACTTAATTTGTTTTTTTACGACACACAATAAACACANAGAGAGAGAGAGAGACTTAAAATGTTCTTATACTTATTAGAAGACTAGACATTTGCACAAAAGATTCTAGAGACGCTACAAATGTATATTCATTTGTAAGAGGCAAGTAACTAAGTCTTAGTTTAAAGTCGAGGCATTCTTCGTCTGAGTTTTTACTTAATTTGTTTTTTTACGACACACAATAAACACAAAAAAAAAAATAGTTAAAAAACAAAGTGGGTTGGAATAACTTACTATTAAAAATCCTACTAATATTCATCATTTGGAAATTATGTTGCTATATTAATAATTTTTAATTATTTATTTCTATATTTGTAACTGATAGCAATTTTATTATATTTTGGTCTACCTCAATTAATGAAATTATATACTAAAAACTTAAATGCAAAAGCTGAATCTGTATTTTTTGCATCTCAAAAATAAGAAAAAATATTTTTAAATAAATAATATTAATATTTGAATAATTATTTGATGTATATATATATTATTATATTATGTCGTGATGGAGCCTCATCTAATANTTGGTCTACCTCAATTAATGAAATTATATACTAAAAACTTAAATGCAAAAGCTGAATTTGTATTTTTTGCATCTCAAAAATAAGAAAAAATATTTTTTAATAAATAATATTAATATTTGAATAATTATTTGATGTATGTATATATATATTATTATATTATGTCGTGATGGAGCCTCATCTAATATTTTCGACAAAGGTCCGAATTTGAGTGTGATCGCCTCTGATTCTTACTTGAGAAGTTTCTTGAGTCCTTCAATAGCTTTCTCGTACGAGTTCTTCGCCATGTCTTGTCGCTGAAAAAATTAACCAATTTATCATANATTATGTCGTGATGGAGCCTTTTCGACAAAGGTCCGAATTTGAGTGTGATCGCCTCTGATTCTTACTTGAGAAGTTTCTTGAGTCCTTCAATAGCTTTCTCGTACGAGCTCTTCGCCATGTCTTGTCGCTGAAAAAATTCACCAATTTATCAAAAAAAAATAACTAATAAACAAACAAATTCATAAATCGTTAGTTTCTAGATCTTCAGTTTGTTAAGGAAAAATGATTAAATGAGGGCCATACAAATCTACCTCATGCTAGTAAATGAGATCAAAATCGTGGTTAAAGTTTTTTTTTTTTTGGAGAAAAAGGTNAAAAAAATAACTAATAAACAAACAAATTCATAAATCGTTAGTTTCTAGATCTTCAGTTTGTTAAGGAAAAATGATTAAATGAGGGCCATACAAATCTACCTCATGCTAGTAAATGAGATCAAAATCGTGGTTACAGTTGTTTTTTTTTGGAGAAAATGGTGGTCATTCACATTCTTATAGTGGTAATAATTAATGATGAGGTTTGTGGTTGTGTTAACAGTATTTTTGAGTGTATTTTCTCATATTCTTGGAATAACCCAATCTGGTATACATGTGGTATCAGAAATTACATCTATACAGGAGGATTAGTCAGGTGATACAACATACTTAGATATAGTCTAATGAATGAAAAACAAAAGCTGCTAAAATGGTAGTGTGGCCAACTTAACTTCGACTAATTTCATTGTCTTAGCACCATGGCATGNGAATTGAAACCTCGATTTCTAAGTAGTTGAGGTTCTGTAACTGATTCTTGATTTTAAGTAGGGGTGCAACTTGGGTTAGGCAACCCGATTTCAGCCCAAGCCCAACTCAAAAAAATTAAGGCTTGGGTAAGGATTTTTAATATTTGGGTTGGACTTGGGTCAAAAAATTCCAACTCGAATTCAATTTGGGTTGAATACGGGTTAAAGTCTCATGAACCCGAGTTCAACCCGAACTCGACAAATTAATAAAAAAAATTATATATATATAAAGCATTAACACTGATTTTTCATTTTGTTCTATCGTTCTCTGTCTCTCTCGTTCTCTTTGCCTCCCTCGTTCTGTCAACCTCTCTCGTTAAAAACTTGGTTGAAATTATTGGTTGTTAATTTAGGTTAATATTATGTAATAAATGTATTAGGTTTAAAACAACAAGTCTATTTTGGGCTCTACCTGAATTGAACCCGTAAAGTAACCCGAAATCATCAACCCGAGGTAGGGTTAGGGTTAGGGTTGAAGATTATATACCTAGGATTGGGCTAGGTTTAATTGTCTAATCCGTCCGAGTTGCACCCCTAATTTTAAGTAGAGAGTCAGACCCATGATTGTCCGTGGAACAAAATCTTAGAAAGTGAAAAGCCTCGGTGACAGTTTCAAATTGGCTTTGTTTGCTTCCAAAACAAAAGATTGGTTTTGTTTCAGCTCGATTTCTAAGTAGTAAGTGAAAAGCTTCGATGACAGTTTCAAATTGGCTTTGTTTGCTTCCAAAAAAAAAAGAATGGTTTTATTTAGAACATGGGAGTCATTGATACATGCTTGAATTTTTTTCCTTTTTCTGTCTGGTACAAACAAGTATTTGAGCGAAGTCAGTAGCACAGATAACGAAATTGAAGTTGACAAGGTGCATATTAATCGACTTTATATTTTTTATTCTTTAGTTTCATCTATACAATGGTTTCTAATTTGTTTTTCCATCTATTGTTACTCAAGTTTGATCCACACTTAACAGTATAAAACCGTCTTCGGGTCAAAAAATTGTGGTAATCTAGGAGTTGATTCCTTATTGAATGGAAGCTATAAGAATACTGGATAAAACTTAGTCAGATTTTGCTGATTGAAAACGCTTATTAGTTCCCCTGCATGCACACAAAGCTCATACATGAATGACGAAAACCTATAAGAAGGACAAGGTCTTACGTGGAGTTGGGAACATCAAACGGGAAAGTCATGAGACCCTTTATACCACCACAGCAGCTATGTCCGATTACCACAATGTTCTCCACCTGAGAAAGATTGGAACTGTTAATCAGTCCCATGTTGACGACTCACATAATACTTAAATGAGTCTGCTGAAATGATGATCCAACTCATATCAATCTCTGCGGGGTCACTCATTATTCTTAACGAGACCTATCAACTCGATATGGAATCGCAAGAAGTTATAATGTATGATTTTATTATTAATGAGTTCCAATCATAATCGGGTTGACTGGTCAAACTCATTTAATATATGGGTAGATCGATTACAAAAATATATGATGCGGATCCAATTATATTACTATAAATAAGTAAGCACAAGTAAAATCTTAAGTACGACACAAATCTAAATTCATACGAATAACTGATTATCATATCAATGGTTGTGATTGTTAGTCACAATATAAGAGGAGGATTATGTTCACCTTGAGATGCAGAACAGCATATTCGACCGCAGCCCCAACTCCAGCGTATTTAACCTGTTGCAGCAAAAACAATCAGATCCAAGTTTGTAATTGCGACAAATTACACTTTGGATCCTTTGAACTATTGTTTTGATCCCATTTTATCTAGGCACATCAATCGTGTCAGGTGACATGAGTTTGTCTCAAGTTTTAGCGTGTCAAAAATATTTTAACAATACTTGATTTATTATTAATTTATGTTTAATAAATTATGTCATATCGGGTTCATGTTATATATGAATTAGCTAGTATATAAACGAGTTAAATAGTGTATTTCTTCATATTGATTTCAACTATATTCGATTCGTTTATTAATTGTGTTATGTCGTGTTGGGTTCATTCGTTTATTAAACAAGTGGTTTAAAAAAGACTCAAACCTTCTAGTTTCGTATCGTGTTATCGTGGTATTCTAATTTTATCACATCTACTATTGAGTTTTTTCCTTTATCCCCTCAATTATTTGCATTAATTTCACATTACCCCAAATCAAAACTTTTGTTATACTTTGGAATCCAAACATCGATGTGTCATTAGATTTGGGGTCAAGCTAAATAAAATCACATAGGTTAGAGTGCAATCGGACACAACTTTCTGCCATAGACGTATGCAATTAGAACGATATAAAGTCAATAAGAAGCATAGTAAGAGATGGGATATAAGAAACATAACAAATATTGAAAGGGCAATGTGAGATAGGAAGTGTAATTGATGGAACCAAAAGTGTTAATATGTTTTTTCCACAAGTCTCTAACAAGATTGAGTAGTAGTTTGGTTAACCTGATCATATTGTGGGACCATGTTGGCAACGTTTCGGACCACAAATGCCTCCCCTGGTTGGAAATCCAGCACATGTGACGGACAGACCCGGGAGTCGGAGCACGCAAAAACCATGAACTGCCACACACATGAATAATGTCTCGTCAATTAATCTTCTCCCTCAAATGTAAATCATTCATTCATGTCGGGACTAGGGTATTCATAAGGCTTGGTTCTAAGAGGTTGTCAAGATTTAAAATTAAAACATTTGAATTTACATTTCATTTCTGTTACCACTTAAGCTATTCATTGGAGGTATATTTAGTTCATATCGATAATGAAGAAGACTGAATACCTTAGGGCTCTGGCCTTTGGCAAGTTCACCGTATAAGCTCGGATTCGTTCTGAAATCACAAATAACTCATCATGTCAGCAATGGCCGGACGGAGCAATCCGCCAAAGATTGGACACAAAAGCTGCTACTGTCTAAAAGAGTTAATAAAGATGCTGCTAAATTAGAGTGGATAGGATAGGATAGTATATAAAAAAAATTAAAATACGAACAAAATTTACTCACTCGTATTTCTCTTTTTTAAAATGAATGAAGCCGTTTTTCAGCCTCTCAACAGGGTTAAACCCTTTGCTGTCAACTGTTTGCAACTCTGCTGTAATTTGATCAATTTTTGCTGCTGCAACAGGTCCTAGCTCTCCCTTCTCACTGCAAAAAAATATCAAAATCAGTAAGTATTGTTTTTGCCCTTATATATAAGAAATATAAGGAGAAGTATATGAGAGAGAGAGAGAGAGAGAGAGACTTAAAATGTTCTTATACTTATTAGAAGACTAGACATTTGCACAAAAGATTCTAGAGACGCTACAAATGTATATTCATTTGTAAGAGGCAAGTAACTAAGTCTTAGTTTAAAGTCGAGGCATTCTTCGTCTGAGTTTTTACTTAATTTGTTTTTTTACGACACACAATAAACACAAAAAAAAAAATAGTTAAAAAACAAAGTGGGTTGGAATAACTTACTATTAAAAATCCTACTAATATTCATCATTTGGAAATTATGTTGCTATATTAATAATTTTTAATTATTTATTTCTATATTTGTAACTGATAGCAATTTTATTATATTTTGGTCTACCTCAATTAATGAAATTATATACTAAAAACTTAAATGCAAAAGCTGAATCTGTATTTTTTGCATCTCAAAAATAAGAAAAAATATTTTTAAATAAATAATATTAATATTTGAATAATTATTTGATGTATATATATATTATTATATTATGTCGTGATGGAGCCTCATCTAATATTTTCGACAAAGGTCCGAATTTGAGTGTGATCGCCTCTGATTCTTACTTGAGAAGTTTCTTGAGTCCTTCAATAGCTTTCTCGTACGAGTTCTTCGCCATGTCTTGTCGCTGAAAAAATTAACCAATTTATCATAAAAAAAATAACTAATAAACAAACAAATTCATAAATCGTTAGTTTCTAGATCTTCAGTTTGTTAAGGAAAAATGATTAAATGAGGGCCATACAAATCTACCTCATGCTAGTAAATGAGATCAAAATCGTGGTTAAAGTTTTTTTTTTTTTGGAGAAAAAGGTGGTGGTCATTCACATTCTTATAGTGGTAATAATTAATGATGAGGTTTGTGGTTGTGTTAACAGTATTTTTGAGTGTATTTTCTCATATTCTTGGAATAACCCAATCTGGTATGGTATACATGTGGTATCAGAAATTACATCTATACAGGAGGATTAGTCAGGTGATACAACATACTTAGATATAGTCTAATGAATGAAAAACAAAAGCTGCTAAAATGGTAGTGTGGCCAACTTAACTTCGACTAATTTCATTGTCTTAGCACCATGGCATGGATCCACCATTATAAGTAGCATATCAAATCAAAGTAATGTTAGACTGATCAAACAAGTGACGACGCTGCTGCAATAATAAAACAACTAGTTCTATANTGGATCCACCATTATAAGTAGCATATCAAATCAAAGTAATGTTAGACTGATCAAACACGTGACGTGACGACGCTGCAATAATAAAACAACTAGTTCTATGTTTTTTCATTAGAGACTCGAGATTTACTCACTATGTTTCTATTTTTGTTTCATTTTCTTTTGTCAATATGTCATTATTGATTGATTAAACAATGAAGAAGGACCCACAGTATTCTAACCTCTGTGTGTGTGTGAGAGAGAGAGAGAGTACCAAGATGGGGTGGATGATAGGAGGAGGGGCAGCAAAAACAGGCTTGTTTCTGATGAGACTAGGAGGAGGAGGAGAAGGAGGAGAAGCAGAGGAATTAAGCTTTGCAATGACAGAAGAACGTAATGTAGCTCTCTTGAGAGCAGATTGGGCAGGAGAGAGAGAGGTGAGGCACCAGGTGTTGATCGAACCGGTCGACATTGCACACGGAGCAATAGGATCGAGTAGCTTTATACTATTACAATTGGTGGGTTTTCGTCCATGGCCATCGGATAAGGAAAGTGAAAGCTCGGNAAGTGAAAAGCTTCGATGACAGTTTCAAATTGGCTTTGTTTGCTTCCAAAAAAAAAAAGAATGGTTTTATTTAGAACATGGGAGTCATTGATACATGCTTGAATTTTTTTCCTTTTTCTGTCTGGTACAAACAAGTATTTGAGCGAAGTCAANTCCCCCCCCACTACCACCACCTGGACTTTATCATCGTCTGTATGCATGCCGATTGTCAAGTAGATACATGCATGCGATGTCCGTTTGCCACGTCCACCTATTATACATCTAAATCCCGTTCTAAGACCTACGTATCATCAATTAGAGATAGAGAGAGATACATAGTATAAGGTAATTAGATCCGATGCACTAATATTTTGACTAAACTATGTTATTTTCACATTATTATGTTATTACGACTTAATAATATGTAAATTACAACTTATTTTATATAAATAAATAGATTAAACGGAGTGAGGCTGGAAGTGAAGGAATTTTTTTTTTTTTTTTTTTTTTTTGGGG